GGAGCTTTTAAACAGGCTTTTGAAAAACTTTCATAATTTGCTGCTGTAATATTATTGATTTTTTTTAGAATAAAAAGCTAGCAGATGTGCATAATCCAAAAAATAACAGAAATACAGTTATAGAGCATTCAGTATTATAAGAAAGCCCACACTGTTTCTGAATAAATACATTATTGTTTGAGTTAAGTTCTGTTCCGTTTATGTCTCTTTCCTTGTAAGTGTGAAATGTCCCATGCTTCTGAATGCACCATAGCCATCTGACGCTCGCGAATGCATCACTGGTGAACGCTGTACTGTGGAGATGCGCGTTTGATTTTCCTCTGAATACAAAGCTTTGCAGTTTCCAATCTCACATCGGCTATCACGGTTTATTTTTGTGCATGAATAACAAGAGACTACAAATAAATTAGCCGTACCTCGGTCAAATCTTTGGATTTAATGTTGTTCATATCACACGTACTCGGGATGCATATCTCGATACTTTTTGGCATAACACCGGACCGCGGTCCGCTAATCCATGACCTCTGCATTATACCGAAGCAAAGAGTAATGAGTAACGGTTTTAAAAATGTAAGGAATAGAAAGTACATATACTTGTGTGAAAATGTAATGAGTAGAAGTCAGAAGTAGGAGGAAAAATAAGTAATGGAGTAAAGTATTGATACCTAAAAAGCGTACTTAAGAGGTATTTGTACAAGGTGTTTGTACTTCGTTACTTGACACCTCTGACATCAACCAAACCACACCAACCAACAGAACAATGGCAGACATGTTTCTTATATAGAGGAGAAAAACAAATATTCAAACAAATATTCAAACTCAATATAGAAAACACCATACATCAGATTAACCCCCCCCTTCAATTATCCAGTGGTGCAGTCCTGTACACACCTGCTTGGAGAGTGAAATAGCAGAGGTGAGTATTTATCAATATTTAACTCTTTAATCCATGAATTTCCCTTTTATGAAGAGTTAAACAAAAACAAAATATTGTAAAGTGAAATCAGTTTAACTTTTTACAAAAATTAAAATGTGGCCAACCAAAGAACCACAACCCAAACAAATCCCCTTCACCCAAAACAAAAAAATATACCAATGTAGAAAACCAGATGCTGTGTTTAGCTGCTACTTTGGCCAATATACAGGTAACAATGGCTCATGTTAGCCAACTGATAAAAAATATCTTAATAAGCTCCTAGCTCTGAGTTTTTACAAAAACATAATTGTTTCCGTGTAATCCAGAGGAGAAATATCTCATCCTGGTGTCCAGAATTAGAGAAAGCCAGGCTTGACATAGCACGATTAGGGCTTCCTGGATTTATTCACTTCACAAAGGCCAACCAAGGCTCAACAAGTGCAGCCATGTCAAGTCTGGTGTAACTAATCAAGCTGAATACAGGTCTGCAGCTTTCTTAAAGACACCATGAGGTAGACTAGATATTCATCCATGAGCAAACAATAGAAGATCAACTGAAAGCCTAACATATGCATTTCGTAATCGCTCCTTTGCTATAAAACAGTAAATTTTAAGGGGTTGCCATTTTTATTAAATAAACAACTAATACCTTAAGAATGAACAGTAGACGTCAATAATTTAACATATGCAGATCTGACAGCTGATAGATTTAGATCACACACATGCAGTAATGCAGTTAGCTGCAATCACACAGAAAGGTAATAACTGGTTTGTAAGACAGCAGTCACAATTACAGCAACCCACCCTTTGCTGCTTCTTACTGGCCTAGCAATTTACCACCATATCAAACTGATTAGCCAAAAAAACTAATGGATGCCAACTAGTCTGTCACCAAATAACTTCTCCAAGAAGGGTTGTAAAACCACAGCCAAAGTTTAATCCCTAACCCTTCCCA